GGTGAACATCAAAATTGGCAAATTAAATTTTTAACAAAATTTAAAATGTGTTAGTTACTCGTATACTGTTCTGCTTGCACAGTTTTGAGAATGTTCTGATTCACAGAGATAAGGAGATGCCAACAAGTGCTTCATGGTGTACCATGCAATCCTTGGATACCATGTAGTTAAATAAAAATGTCACAAGTTTTCCATTGGGGTCCGTGCAAAAACAAGTTTGCCTGGCAGAAAAATGGAAATGTTGGTCATTTGTTGTAATTTGGTATTCAACATCAGTCTGCATTTTTAAAATCACATTTAGAATTTTTTTTTTTTTAAGAGAGTCTCACCCAGGCTAGAGGGCAGTGGCATCACCTTAGCTCACAGCAACCTCAAACTCCTGGGCTCCAGTGATCCTCCTGCCTCAGCTTCCCTAGTAGCTGGGACTACAGGTGTATGCCACCACACCTGGCTAATTTTTTCTAAGTTTTGTAGAGATGGGGTCTCGCTCTTGCTCAGGCTGGTCTGGAACTCCTGAACTCAAGTGATCCTCCCGCCTGGGATTCCCAGAGTGCTAGGATTACAGGCATGAGCACCATGCCCAGCACACATTTAGAAACATTTTTGAAAATAAACATTGCATCAAATATTTATAGAATGAGGCCTCCAGGAATGGAGAACTAGCCCATTCTAGACCAACTCTCTACAGATAACAATTATGAACTGGACAAAATACAACCACTGAAAGCATTTCCCTCAATCCTGAATGCTGGGCATGGAGGTTTCCTGTCTTTTTTTTAATCCCATCTCCTGACACTTCTTCCTCTCATGCCACACATTTCACTAATACTTGGTTCCATTTGTCTTTCCCACCTTACGGAAGAGCAAACGCTGTTTCCTCTCCTGAGAAACTCCTTTCCCTCCCCTGTCCCTCCAGCTGACTTCTCATTCCCTAACCTCAGCTTCCCGTGGCCCTCAGACCAGACTGGGCAGTCCCCATCCCGCCCCCAGCCACAGCACCTGTAAACCATCTAAGTTGCTTACTGGACGGTATTTACCGTCTGTCTTTCTCATCAGACGACAGCTCCATGAGGACAGACACTGGCCTGCTCCCTCTTCCCCAGCAAGTGGCTTCCAGCCGACAGTCGCCGCCCACGTCCATCAAGGGGCTGCTCAGCGATCCCCGCTCTCCGAAGCATTCACGCACGCCCACGCGGTCAAGTTCTTGCGAGGCTCTCGGATACCTGCTGGAGAAGCCTCTCCTTTTGCCCTGCGACAACAATCACTCAGTAACTCCCCATGGACCCCGAGCCGGGGCCGGGCGCCGTGCCGCACACACAGGCTGTAACAGAAGCAAGGCGCCCCTGCCTGCCTGCCCGAGCTGGGACTGCTGGGGAACGTGCCCCACAAAGAGGGAACCACTCGTAAGTGAGAGGCCCTAACAAGGAAATCCAAGGTACTTGGTGAAATTCTCCATGTTCTGAAAGGTGGCATGCATCTTACTGTTTGCTAAGGAAGTAACTTGGCAATCGACCTGTTCACCTAATCCTTGGACACGCAGCCGCTCCCCGTCTGAGAGCCTGGGCGCTGTGCCGAGGCTCTGGTCTGCGTGCCACGGCAGAGGTGACCCTGCAGTGCCAGCAAGCGGAAGCAGCTGCCGAGGGAAGCCTGCCCTCCAGCCGGTCCCCGAACCGCCGCGCCTACCTCCCCCATCTGCACGCCCGCCCACCCCACGGCACGGGGTCTGTACCTGCCACGGTCCCCAGGCGAGCAACTTCACGCTAGTCTTGTCATGCATACGAGAGAGAATGCCTATCGTAAAGGATTATTTTAAGGATTCAGTGAAAACATCTCATCAGCAATAAATGCTGCGGCGTCTTAGTGACTGTCACTATTGAGTCTGCGTGTGGTGACGTGCTCCCCCACCTGTCCCCGCTGCACACGGGCCCCGCTCCCAGCACGGCTCTCTCTCCCTAACCACACCGGGGCTTCCCGAGCCACCCACACGGTTCTCTCGGAACTCTTGGTTACACGAGAAAGTGGCTTAGAAATTTAAACAGGAATCAGAGTAGTGTCTTCTGCATCCGATAAGGAAAATGCTAAATAACACGCCTTGCCCACAACACCCAACTTCTCCACCTCAAGTAAGGCAAACATACAACACTGTTATAAATAAGCAAAACCTTTTAGGGTTAAAAGTGTAATTTTATTTAGATGTTACTTGTACATAATCTATAGTAAGATATACAAACAGATAAAAATCGTTTAACAGTTTTGTTTTTTTTAATACCACTTTAAATTTACAACAGCATTGGTAATACTGCAAGATGACGGATACTCTGATGTATAAAACAAAAATTACTTGCTACTCTGGCTGATACATTCCCACTAGTCTTTAATGGATTAAAATGTATCGTGTATTTTTAGTTGCAAATTATTATAAAACTTTCACAACCTAGCCTTTTGGTGCTCATAAAACATGTCGGATGCCATAAAAATTCACTGAAATGAAAATGTTAATTTCCCTAACAGTACCCTTAATAAAGGAAAAGTCAGCTCGGGGCTGACAACGCACAATCCTTTGCCTTCTGCTCAGCCTCTGTGCATGTGTGGCTGACACGTGGCACCGACCGGCCTTCCCTCCCCTTTCCCTAAGTCTGTGCCGTTGGGAGAAAGCTGGGAAGAAGTTAAACTCAAATACATACAGAGAAATAAAACTGGGGCCAGTTTAAAACGACCTTACCGTTTGTAAGTGTAATTTAAAAAACATAAAACTTAACAGGAATGAAATAGACTTTCAAATGCTTTTTTCTCCATTCAAAATACTTTTTGGAAATAAAACGGAAAATTCAAAATCTTTACTTTTTTCTTTTCGTGTAAATACCACATTAGAAAAGATCCAGATTTAAATTTTAGAATGAGTTGAATTTGGTGAAAAAATACTCTAAAAATAACCTAAATTAGATTTTAAGTCATTTCCCATTCTTTTAAAGGTTATGGAACACAACGGGGCAAAAAGCTTTTTCACTAGTCGCAAAATCAAATTGAAAATAACCTGTTGAAGAGACTACAAGAAGACAACTAATAATTAAGAGGCTCATGAATATTTATGAATAAAGTGCCACTAATTGTATTGTAATAAGATATAAATAGAATCGACCTGACATGGATAGTAGCTTTAATGTGTTCTCTGCATCCTGAGAACAGAAGGGCCATAAAAAACAAAGCATCACCATCAAACGTGAGTTCTAGGATTATGCAGGTAACTTTAATACAAAAGTAACAATAAAGACAAACTGATTATAATAAGAACAAAGTAAGACTTCAAAAGTAATAAAAGTCCAGAGAATAATACCAACACAGTAGGCCCTTTTGGGGGAAAAAATGGGGGGGAGGGAAAAAATAAAAAAGCAAAAAGTCAATAAAAAACAATAACAAAAAAAATTAAAAAAAAGAAAAGGACAGCCCAATGGTGCCCAGCTCCAAGGAGAGGAGCTCAAGAACTTGTGCCCAACAGCTGGTACAGCTGAGAAAATAGATGAACTGGGATAAGCAGTCTTGGAAAGGGGACACAGACATTAGGTTTTTCAGAGTTTCAAAATCTATGCCACTAAAACCCAATGTACCTATATGGTGAGCCCCCATAGGCCAAACAGGCACCCACTTGGAGACGCTTAGATGCGACCTGGGGCTGGGCCGAGTCGCTCAGGAGAACCCAGCGACAAACACCGTCAGCTGCCTCCCTGTCTGCAGTCCTCCCATCACCGCAAACAGCTCTGCTTCCAGCTCGGGATTCCTCCCCCTCCTCGTAACGGAGTCAGTCGCCAACGACTGCACCCCACCCGAAACACTGCAAGCAGGAAAGAACCCCTCCGTCGGGAAAGGGTCTCGGCATATTTCTGAAGTCTAGCAAAGCCTGCAGCGTGTGTTTATTCTAAGCAAGCGGCTACCCTTCGTTCAGAATCACAAAACAGAAGCTCTCCTCCTTGAGCTTCCCAGTGACTTGCCACAGCCAGGAAGACCAACCCCACCGGTCTCGGGCGTTTCCACGTGGGAAGACCCACCGCGCAGGCGCGGGCGAGAGCAAAGCCGTTGAGACAGAGAGGGGGCTGACCAGGGTCCTCCTGGGAGGTACCTTTTAAAATCGAATGTGCCAACAACAGTAGGAGGAAGGAGAGCCATGTGCTTCTAGGACGGGGAAGGCCCTCTGCTTGGGAGTGACCCCTGCTCTGGCCCCAGCACCGTGATGAGTGAGCAGCTGTCACTACCTACTTTTGCCCAGACATTGAGCTAGTTCAGCATCCAGACGAGCGGAGCGAGGGCCACCTGAAGCACTCCCAGCCGCGCACCGAGGAGCCGGCAGCCGCCGTGGCCTCACTGAGGGCCCGGCTGCCAGGAATCACGAGGAGGGGTCTCCTCTGCAGCCCGGACCCACGTGGCAGCTCTGCCAGCCGGCACGGCGGCTCCGGGCCCCTGGCATCTGCCGCGGCCGGCTGGTGGCGAGTATCCTGAGTGTCATCCCCAATGGCCTGGAAAGGAAAGAGGACTCTGTCCTCCTTTCTCACCGCTACTGAGCTGCTGAAACCTCTTACAAAACCAGCAGGCGTGTCCCGAGGGAACGCCCGCAGGGAACCCGGCCTGAGGAGGGCCCTTCCGACTCCGCGTGACACAGGCGTGTGCAAAGGCAACGAGCGTTCGCGTTCGCTCAGAGGCTACCAAGCTAAGAAACGGAAAGCAGAAACATTCCCTCCTCCTGATGCGTTAATAGACCTTTCTTCTTCAGAAACACATTTTAAAAAGAAACGAGAAACCAAAAACGCAAATCAGTGTATATAGCTCACTGGTCGGAAGACATCACCGAGACAAGCCAAGAGTCTTGCAGAGACCGACGGCAGGCAGGCGGCTTCACAAGCACACAGCGCGCCCGCGCAAGCGCGACGGTCCGCGTGAGAGCAAACCCAAACTGCACCGGACGCTCCCGCGGCCGAGAGGGAGCAGGCGCTGTTTCCGGGCGACGCGACAGTGACAGCATGGGCCCTCACGTGCAGCACGATCCGCTATGTTTAGTGGCACTTGAGTATTACACGGTAAACACTGAAAGAACCCAGACGTTTCGGATGTGCAGAAGCAATATCACACTAGTCATACAAAAGGTGCTACGCTACAGGGTTAGGACGCCGCTATCTGGGCGCGGAGACCACTTGCAATCGCCCACACACTCCCAGCCCCGCGGGCCGCCGCCCGCTCAGTCGGACCAGTCGTTCTCGTCGAACTCCGAGTCGTCCTCGGAGTCGCTGTACTCCACAGCGATGCGCCGAGACAGGATGGTGGCCACGTCGTTCCCCACCGGCTCCCGCTTGGCCTCCTGCTCGCGCTGCTCCTGCACCTTCTTCAGCTGGATTCCTGCAGACAGACACGCGGTTTAGAGTCGAGTCCCTCTGCACGCCCCGAGTCAGACACACAAACCGAAAGTCTGCTGGGCTTTTCTCTGTCTACTGACATCAAGTATTAAAGTGCAGGAAATCTGAAGGGAGAAAAGCTCGGGGAATGTTAGAAGTTTCATGGCCAAAAAAAGTGCAAAGTCGTAACTTTTTTTTTTTTAATAAAAAAGCAATGTGTTAAAGTATAAGAAAGTTAGTTATAATATCAGTGCACATGAGCACCAGCAAAGAAAATTCTAGAGCTGCACTGTCCCAGACAGTAGCCATGGCCACATGTAGCCCTTTAGGCATAAACCGGTATGCACCACTGGCACCATCCGGGACGGCACAGCCTGGACCAGGGGTCCTCGAACTGCGGCCCACCTAGCACATTACCCGGCCCGCCGGGTGTTTTTGCCACGGCTGCCTGTCCTGCTTAGCAGCCTACTCATCCCGGGCCCACAGTGCGCACTCTCCCACTGTCTGAGGGACAGTGAACTGGCCCCCTGTTTAAAAAGTTCTAAGACCTCTGGCCTGGACCGTTTCCACCACCACAGCACACCTAGCTGGACAGTGCCGTGATCCAGTTCCGCAAACAGTTCTGCCCTACTGGCCCTCACCTGCCCTGAGAAGTAACTAAGAAACTTGTTTCAACAACTATCACTGAAAGAGGATATAAAACACAATCATCTACTTCCTTGCTTAGTTACAAAGTAAGTTGTCTGATGACTTAGCGTTTATCCATTCATTTTCTTAACCTTTTGTTTGGCAATAGTTTCAGATTTATGGAGCAACTAGAAGCCCAGGAGGAAAACATTCCCAAACACTCTCTACTCACGCTCCCCAACATTTGTGTCCCAATCTCTGTGTCACCCTCGCGCGCACATACACTTTTCTACGGACCCTGTGAGAGTGACTGGCATGTAACGTCCCTTTACCCCTAAACTACTTCACATGTTACTCCCTTAAAAAAAAAAATCAAAATCAGAAAATAAAAATGGGTATAACACTCTCTCTCCTACAAATATTATTCAAATTTTGCCAAGAGACCCAACCTAACTGCAAATGGAAAAATCGCTCCCCAGTTCAGGATCTAGTGTGGGACCACCTGCTACGGTAGCTGTCATGTTTTATTAATGTCCTTTCATCTGGACAGTGCTCCAGCCTTCGTGTGTCACAACTTTCCATTTTTGAAAAATACAGGCAGCTGTTCTGTAGAATGCCCCCCATCTGGGTGTATCGGGTATCTCCTTGCGATTAGATCCAGGTTATACACCAACTCTTACTGGGAGGGACTTACGCGTATTAAAAAAAAGAAATTTAACACTGTCCTACTATGACCCCAAATTTGATACCCATAAATTACTACACATCTGGGACTTTTTTCCTTGACAAAATAAAAGTGTCACTGATGGCTTATGCTGTTAAATAAATGCAAAAAAATCCCACTGGCTTATTTAGCACATCAAGCTAGGACTGAGACAAGTCCAGGACATATCTTAGGATTGTGTTTAAAAAACTAACATCATTTTCTTTCTTTTGTAATTTTACCCTTAGAGTAGAATGCAGAGAAGAGATCCAATTAATTAACTGATCATTGCTGTTATCTGATTTCTGGTTTCTAGTGACGTACGGCTTCCCCGAATTCTCAATTCCTTATCATAATGCGTTTACCTTACACTGGGCAAAAACACAGTATTAAAAAAAAAACAAACAAGACCCCTTTAATTCTAAAGACTGACTGAACATGGAGAGTGGTAACGTAAAGACAACGGAGACGGGAGGAATCTTCTTCCCAAGAGCCAGGCTGTGCGGCCGGGGCGCTCCCTTACCCATCCGGATAGCAGCGAGGAGATCGCTGCGGGCGTCGCTGATGGGCGGCTGTGCAGGCTCCTGCCGCCTGGCCTCAGCCGCTGGGGGGCCGTGCATCGGGGAGGGCGACAGAGAAGCCCCCGGGCCAGGCGGTCCCGGCGGGGGAGGCGGTGGGCCCGGGGGAGGCGGGGCTGCGGCCAGGAGCCCAGCGGGAGGATGCGGCGGCGCCGTGTAGGTGGTGCCGGCTGGCGCGGGGAAGGCGGGCTGCATGGGCATCTGGAGGGGGCTGACGAAGGCAGTCTGTGCAGAGGGAATCACGGGGGGTGGCGGGGGAGGCGGGGGTCCTGACGGGTTGTAATACTCGATGATCTGTGCTGGGAGCATCCTAATGGAGAGACGGAACACACAGCGTCACCAAAGGAACAAGGCCATGGCCTGTGCGTCCCAGCACGCCTAACAGAGGGGCTTCCCCGAGACGTGCACACCGTCACCTGAACCCAAAGCATGGTGGGATGCAAGTGTCCGCACTTTGGGCCAGTCATTTTCCCAGTTCTACATTATGATGGAATTCAAGAACTTCTACTGAAATGCACCAAAGAGAGGACTGGGCGAAAACTGAAGCAGTTTTCTGTGGCAAGCTGGAATAAAGGAGGTGACTGCAGAGGTCAGCACTGGCACAGCCATGCATCCTTTATCCTGGGCATCTCCAAAGTGGGTGCTCACAGGCGTGCCTTGGAAGGGTCCTGCGGTCAGCCAGGCTGGGGAAATTCTACCTTCTCTAGCTGACCCCCGTAGAACCCCAGCGTCCAGCAAAGTATCCAAAGCTATGAGAAGTCACACAGCCGAGAAATCTGCTGACTTCTATTCAGCCAAGGGTTTGACAAACCAACTGGACCACTTTCCAAACCACAGGACTCTCTCTGCCTGACACAGCCTCAAAACACACCATGGGAAGCCTGACTTCGAGAGAGCCCGCAGGTGGCAACCTCCAGGATGGCACGTGCAGTCAGGGAGACAGGCGGCAAGGGCCATGCTGCTCTGGGTGGAAGAGCACACACGCTAACACGGGTGGTGCACATGCAACTTGCCTGGGCACAGACTCTGCCGGGACAAACCCTTTAGGGTTATGCCAAAAAAAAGAGAGTGCTGAAGCCTGGCCGTCAGAATAAAGGTGGGTGCCTGGACGGACGTTAGGAGGTGTCTGAATTCTACCTGCCAGACTGGGGGTGGGATGATGTCCGTGTGCCAAGAGGTCAAGAAAGGAGAGCACACGGCCAACCCACGGGAGCCGCCTTACACGGTCTTCCCATCTGTGCAGAGAATGCTCTGTGACGTGCCCAGGATGTGTAGAGATATGTAAGGGTTTGGGACGGGTTCGAGAAACCGGCGTGTCATCCTTTATCAATGGCTTGGCTTACAGGGCCACCCAAACCCCTGGACGTCAGGGCATGAGGGAAAGTGCTCGCATGGGGGGTGTCTACACCCCTCCGAGACTGAGCTGACAGGAAACAGGGGGAGCGGCAGGATTCTGCACCTGCTTTGTTCAACGTGGAATCTGTCGGGACCAATAGTACCCGTGTCCAGCCGTTCTTCACGATATTCTGGCCTCTAAAATACCAAAGTTGAACATTCTCCCACCTTGCACGGCAAGACTGAAACGAGAGAGGCAGGCAGGGAACAGAGTACAAGGCGCGCTGAGTTACCCGTAGTCCGCAGGAGCCAAGGGTGCCGAGGCCTGGGACCCCTCTGGGGCCTGCGGGGGCGGCGGGGGCGGCGGCTGCTGGGGTCTGTTGAGGGCCATGTGCCTGGCCGAGGCGGAGGGGGGCCGGTACTCGTGCTCGGGCGCCTGGCTCGCGGGCCCGTGCGGTGGCGCCTCACCCGCGGCGGCGTACGAGGGGGTGGCAGGCTGGGCGTGCAGAGAGTGGTTGGGCGTAGCTGGATAGGAGTAATCCGTAACGTCCGACGCGTGGGACCTGGCGTTCCAGAAAAACGGGTGGGAGGAATTCAAGTTAAAAAATGTCCTCTGACAGCAGGAACATGTATTTGTATAATCGCATTGCCAATGCACAGAAATCAGACGTTTGTTTCCTTTCAACTAGGTCTAGCCCCATGAGAGCTTGCGAGCAACAACGTAATTACTATTTTAGCAGCAAGCCCCAGTGTTACGTGGAGTCAGAGGCACAGCTTTGGAGTGAATAAGTCAGACAGATCGGCAAGCAGGAAACAACAGCACAGCCTCATTTTCGCGACGTTTCTGCAGACTTTTTCTCTAAGAGAGACAGCTACAAGAGAAATTCCATTTGAATTAGAAACAGCATCTAAGACAGACAGGATTTCGGTGGCAATGAAACTGACAGCATATAATTAGAAAGTATAAAGTGTCAGGCGAACTGGATAAACATTAACAGTAAGAACGTGAGAATGCGGTATAGTGGATCACATTTTTCTTAAACAGAGAAAGTGAATTTAACCAAAGGAGAAAGCAGCAATGCGGTGCACCAGGGAAAGGCCGGCTTCCCGCGGTTCTCCTTGCACGCACAGGCGAGCGTGAACTCTGAAAGAAAGGGACCCCGTGTTAGTGCCGAGGAGCCCGGGCAGCCGCGGGGGCAGAGCCAGGGCCCGCGCGTGGCGGGGGCGTTAGTAGCGGGCACGCACGCCCGGCCGCGTTACAGGGCGCGTTGTCAGTAGGGGCTGCGCGTCCTCTCGTGGCGGCTGAAGCAGGGGTGGCCTGAGGCTGGGAAGCCAAAGAAAGCGAAAGGACAAACCCTGCGGGCGTCCCGTCCTCTCTGGCGCTGCCCGCCTGCTCCAGGCTCTTCGCGTCACTCATGAACTCAATGCCCATTTTCCTTCTCTCCCACTCTTCTCTCCTCGTCCTGACTTTCCTCACATTTACTTGCTGGTTTCTGTTAGGGTTCAGCTTGTGTCTCTCCCTCTGAAGGAAACATGCAAACACACACTGGGGATGTAGAGGCAGCGGCACGGACTGAATTTCCATCTCTGGGGCTTCCGACGGCGGCTCTTCTTAGCTGGAGCACCGGGTGGCACAGAAAGCCCTTCTGAATGAAAAGAGACCGATTCCCCCCCCTTCCGCCTAACTGCAGTACAATAACAACAACTCATTTTTTCTACCTTAATTGTGGCACGGATTCTAGCTTTATGCTGGGCATGTGGTTATGTCTTCTGAACTGTGCAAACTACTAGCAAATGAGTTAAAAGTGTTTTTCATGGGGGAAGAATCTGACCTGTATTTAGGTTTAGTGTATTTTAAAAATATAAACACCTACAACTCTAGAGTCAATGACAACATGTGAGTGACACTCTGTCCGTGACTGTCTGTCCATGACTCTCTGTCCGTGACTGTGAGCGCGAAACCTTCTAGAGGAAATGGAGTCATCCAGTAAAACACGGATGCTCCTCCCACCACGGCGGCAAGGAATCGCACGGCTATGGCATGACTGGGGTGCTGTCCTTGTCCAGGAGCTTGGGACACTGGGCGGACGGAGCCGAGAAAAGGGGCTGGCCCAGTGGAGGCAGCGAAAGGAGAGGCCACGCACACCTGAGGTCGAGAGTAGAGCAGGTGCTGTCTAGAGGGCAGGACGCTAGTGAGGGGAGGTGGCGTGAGGACAGAGGAGGGGGGCTGGCTGGTCAGTCCAAGAGGGACAGACCGTAGAACAGAACAGGGGGATGCCAGCGGGCAGGGGGAGCAGGGGGCTGCTGGGAGACGGAGCCCCCGCCTGGGGGGAAGGCAGAGGCAGCCACAGAGGTGAGTAGGGGTCCTGAAGCTTCGTGATCCACAGAAAAGAGGCTCAGGAGGGCTGCAGGTGACACTGACACGGGAAGACCTGAGTACAGCAGTGGGGACTCAGTGAGAGAGTCCGGTAATCTCCCCGGGGTTTCGTGTGGACAGGTGGGCAGTCGGGGAGCTGCCCCGGGCCCAGGACAAGGGTAAGAGAAGGTAACAAGGACAGACAGGTGCGCAGGTGTGATGCCCGAGGAACAGGGACAGAGAGCCGGTTATAGGGCACGCACTTCCCCAGCTCCCGTCTTACACGCACGCTTAGGGACAAGCCGTTCCTAACAATCTAGAGAGAGAGAACAAACACGTAAGATTAGTTTGCATGGGCTGGGTAAAGTACACCGCTTTTACGAATCGTGGCTCACATGCCTGCCATGAAAGCTGCCGTTCAAATTTCCCTCCATGTCTCGAACACACTCAGATGAGGGGATACAGCCACTTGTAAGCAAGTTTCTAAATAATACTTAAAACATGAGATATAATTTTAAAAAGTCATAAGAAAAAACATAGTATGATTCCAATTTTTTAGAAGAAAAACCATGCACACATATAGAAGACTAATGAGAAGGAAATGACAATGGATACAACAGTTCTTCTGGATGGCGGGGTGACGGATAATATTTCATTTTAATTTTCTTCTTTAATTTCCAGACATAAAAAACATGTCTTATATTATAATTTTTAAAAAAGTAACACTTCAGTAAAGTAAAAAATAAACATTTCTAAATTAATTTAAGGGATATAATACAAGTATAATGACGGATTGTGATCTATTTATCTTTTAGTGAATAATGTTTGCAAATAGTGAGAGGCCATGGGAAATAGTATGAGACAAAAGGAAATTGTGAAGAAATAAAACAATTCTATTTGCTTTTTGAAAAATAACAGAAATGAAGATAATATATCTAAGCATCAAATACAAAGGTAGAATACTAAATAATCTGAATGACTATTAATTTTATCCCCAACAAGGGAACAATCTAATCTCAGATGCTAGAATGAATATTAATCATTCAACTAAGGGATCAAAAAACGCCATTATTTTCCCAACTGCATCTATTAAAAAAGTATATATGGGATAAAAACAAAGTACATGTTTTACATGAACAAATAATCACAACTAAATTATTTGGGAAAACCAAAAAGGCAAATTGAAAATTGACATCATGGGAGGTATTAAGTTCACGGATTTCTCCCTACCTAAAGAACTGTGAGCAAAATTGTATGTTAAAATTCAAACTTGAGGCTAGAACTCAGTTAAAGCTCTAATGATTCTCTAATATTTAACGTATACAGAACAATTATCCAAACTTGATTTACAGACCTTCCTCGGTAGCAATATTTAAGGCACTGTAACTACTAAGTCCTTCATTCAAAAAACACTTATTTAGCACCTTCTATATGTTATAGTTTGTGCTAAACACTGAGGTTACAAAGGTAATTAAAAAAAAAAAAAGGACACAGATTTAACCTGAGGTCCAGGCTGCTGCTGTTTTTGAGACAGTCTTGAATCACATAAGATTCCTATATTCAAATTTTTAAATGCTGATGAAAGACTTTAGGCAAATGGAAGACTATTTTACAAAAGCAAAAATAGGAAATGAAATGAAAAGTTAACATTGACTAGTCTGTTCCTGTCATTCAACAAATCTCTTTTGTAACAACTGTGACTTACTGAGGACATGACTCACACCTGCAAGAAATATTTTCACTTAACTGCTAACAAATGTTTAAAGCAACTCCAACAGAATTCTTCTCCTGAAACCAGAATACATAAGTTATCTGAAGTAAGAAATAAATCTCTTTTGTTCATCACTTTTCCAAAGGGTTATCGAAAGGAACAACAAAGGTATTCCTGAGTCACATTAGTTACCAGCTACCAATCATGTTTAGATACCAAGTGGCAAAGGAAATTCAACATTCCAAGCTGAAGAGAAAGGATTAAATGATTGTGAAAACAAAAATTTAAAAGCAATCACCCCAAATTCAGAATCAATGTTAAAACAACTACATCTAGATTAACCGAACAATAAATTTAAGTTAGAGTTATGATAAAAATAAAAAAGAAAACAAGACAAAGGGACCCAATGTAAAATAATATTGCCATAAATTATCATTTCAAAAACAAAATACAGACAAATAATTTTTAACTACTGTGGGCCACATAACCCCCAAAGCTACTGGTGCATTTCAAACCATCATGAAACCAGGCGGGACCCAGTGGCCACAGCACCGGGTCTGCGGGAGCCAGGACACACACACACCTAGTGTCAGGGGACAGGGATCCCTCGGAAGACGCTCCGTGGTACACACTCTGAGACAACCTGTTGTCGGGTCTAAGCTCTTTGTCATACGCCATCATATTCCACTCCTGCCGCCTGTTTCTGGCTTTTCTAACCTTTTTCACCTCACGGGTGGTGCCATCTATACGCTTTTGCTCCTGACGTCCAGGAAAGGAAAGCAAGCGTGCAGAGACAGAAAGGAGAGGAAAACAGCGTGTTAAATGCAGTTGTCATGAACGAGGAACCAAGCCTGACGCACAGACGAGAGACATGTGCATCCCATCACCCTCACATTAAGAACATTCTAGAGCGACATATCCCTCTCCCCCAACTGACCCAACAACAGTGACTGAGATGCGAAACCTAGCTCCCCAATCTAACTGAACGAAAAGTAACTGTGCTACAACTAACTACAGCGGTTGCTTACCATCATTTCTGGTAAAGAACTCTTACTTTACTAGGCTTGTAGCTGGTTTTAAATCTAAGCAAGATCTTCTATATATGACATGGGTGGGGTACCTGGCCACACCACACAGAGAGATCATTTCTCACCACCACACAATTCTGACTGACTCGTTAACATGCAGTTATCTTTCAAAGAAAATAATTCAAAATGTTCTATTCCTCATTTCTCAATGATTATTATAGAATATTTAAGCTAAGCCTGCAACCAGCTTAACAAAGAACAAGATAAAAACTTACCTGCGCACACAGAGCCACTCTTGCTCCAGCCCTACCTTGCCGGCAAAAACGCAATTCCGCGAGCGCTTAGGTCCTACATGAGGATTTCTTTAAAGGTGAGGACAGTTACTTCTATGGGTGCCTATAAGATTGTCCTGTTTCCCTCATAAGATTTTGTGATCTTTAAGGATGAGAAATGTGTGCCCTTATTTCCTACGCTTCTCCCTTTTCTCAGGGTACCTCAACACGCTATTTTACAGAGAATAAATAAATGCTGGCTCAATAAATGCTGGCTCAATGATCAAATCCACAGTCAAGCTACAGGCATGAGCTTCTAGTACTTAGTTATGTTCCGGGCACTGATGACACAAATGGCAAACGAACAAAAACAGACACGGCCTCTGCCCTCACGGAGCTTGCAGTGCAGTGGGGGAAGCCTACAAGAAGACACAACCGGATGCACAATTATAAACCGTGGTAAAATGTAAATGTATTTATCTTTTGAAATATATTCATGCATTTTATATTTCAAAATATTTATCTGTTATCATATAAATATTCTGTAGCTGTGTATTTAAATAAGTCTCTGTAGTTAAACATCTACGCATGGATGTAAAGCCCTGTTCAGCCAGGACGTAGGGAGGCGCTCTGGAAGGGCTCAGGGACAAAGCACGAGCAGCATGAGTTCTGCAGGGGGCGCAGGTCAGATGTGTGCCGGGAGGAGAGAACAGGCTGTGCGGGCCCACGAGCAGCAGGGACAGCACTGCGTTGGGAGAGAGAAGGTAAATGGTAAACTGAGGCGAATGGCCCAAGATCTAAAAGGTAGGCAAGATCTTGAAGGCCAGGCTCTACGTTGCAGAGAGTAAAGGGGAAAGACAGGGACACCAGTGAAAAAGCTACTGAGGTGGTCTAGTCGGGAAGATGGCAGGTGGGCTCAGGGCACAGTGAAGAAGGAAAACTGCCCTGTTCTCAGAGGTACTCAGGAGGCTCTGGTAATGAACCAGCGAAGGATGTAAAGGTGAAATTCACAAAAGATACAGAAATGAGGAAATATGTGCACATAAGTACAGGGACAACCACTGCAGTGTTGTAATAGCAACAGTAATGGGTAATTTATGAATCATTTCTATTAAAAAGAATGAAGTGCATCTTTAATAACGTCAGTGTGTGTGTGTGTAAGTCGTGTGTAGTCCATGTATATAAAAAAATATATACCTTGTAAAATGTGTATGCCTATATTTATGAATGCCTGGTAGTGGTTAGTTACTCCCAGGGAGGGGTGTACCTTTATTTCCTTCAGAGCTATCTGAGCATTTTACAGCTAATATGTATTATTTGCATACTTTTAAAAACCAAAAGAAATAAGGGGGGGGGGGTGAGGAAGATTTTATAGCGATTCCAATATGCATCCTGATTAAGGACCACTATATTAAAATAATTTATAAGTATTACCTTTACTTTTTAAAAGACGTATGCTGACATATTTAGGGATTAAGTGTTCTGATATCTGTAAGTTTCTTTACAATGGTTCGGCCTCCAAATCTATCAACGTGTATACGAGACACAGAGACATACATGCATGTGCTCAAGCCAACACACATGTGTGCGCTCAAGTCACGACAAAATACTGACAAAGATGAATCTATACACCGGGTACACTGGCCTACGTTAAAATCCCTAGAATATGCCAAACTGGTTCCTCTCCCAGATGATCGTAGATATTTCTACCCGGCTGTTCAATTCAGAAGCAGACCCACCTGCCTCATTTTCCCCCAAACCCAGCAACCCCGCCTCCCCCCACCTTCCTCATGCACCCTTCCGATCTGAGAGTGACTGGTGCCCCCTCCGAGGGTCACTCCCTGACACCCCACTGCATGCACCCTGTCACCCCGCCAGGTCAGCTCACCCGGGCTGCTCTGTACTCTTCCTCACAACACTTATCCACAGAGCAACGGCATACTTAAAACTTCATATTTCTTTGCATAATTATTTTTTAATGTTTTTAAAGCACTGGACTAAAGGAAAACAAAGTTCAAAGAAAAATGGATTTTTTTATGCCCGAATTTTCTAAACTAATTTTTCCTTCAGAGTTGTGAACTGCAGACTGAACATGACTTGGGTTTCTGAAATCCTGGGAAATGATGACTATATCTTGCCTCACTTTTCATTCCTATACGAAGCAGACTTGTGTTATCATTTTGAAGCTGCGTTTCTGAGGGCCGTGTGACTATTCAATGCCTGTGTCCCCGCTAGACTGTACTCTCCGTGAGCGCACTCATCTTGCTTTTCCCCACCACCGCCTACTGCGCATTTAGAAGACGTTTAACGAAGCATCATTATATAAATGAATGAATGAGAAATACTCATCAGAATTTTATGTGTTTGAGGAATGTGGAATGAGATAAAATAGTCAAGGAAATGACAAATGGCTTTAAAGACACAACAGTCGTGCATAAAGTTGTTTTCCCTTCAAGGAGAATAGCAAAAATAATAATAATAATAATGATAATAATAAAATTTTTTGCCAAAAGCATGTCTAAGAAGGAAAACCTAGAAGGCCTTTTAAGAGGACAGGCAAGTTTTAAAGGAAAGTACTCTTAAAAGACCTGGCATTTTGTCCTATAACTATAAAAAGTATGGGTATTAAGACAAACACATGGCTTAAATATCAGTTTCTTTTCTGTTCAAAAGATCAGTATCTTCCTTTCTTCACTTGAATACTTTGTAAACTACGCAACTTTTCCAAGATTTCCCAATTAAATTTCCCCAAGGCATGAGCACAGAAAGAATGCGTTAATAGCCAAGTCCTTGGAATCCTTTCCCAGAATCTAGTGGTAGTACTATCTTACACTTGCACAGTCTGTTTTTATGTTTCCTTTCCTTAAATCCTGTTTCAAATTTCAATTCTCCCCCATCCCAAACTATCGCTCCTACTCTGGACAACACACCTAAATGCCTCAAAACCTGAGGCCATCAACCCACAAAATGCTAAGCATTTTTCCTAACTGAAGCAAACTAGATGATCATTTTAAAACATAGTTGACATGTAAGTAAATACTTGCTCTTAGAGAATTACTCTTTTCAGTGGCTTAAGTCTAATTTTGAGGCCCCAAAGGGACAATTTTCAAAGCCTCAGTAGAGTGGGTTTTCCTCCCGAGACTGCCTGTTCCTCCACCCTCACCCTTGCAATTTTCTCGTCTACCATTACACTTCCCGAAAGGGAGGTTCGTTTTCAGTAAATACTATCCCCGAACACGCAGATCACACAAGCTTCCCAGCTGCAGAGAACACCTCACCCAAGCCTTAATTACAGGTGGGTGGCAACCCAACGATTAAGGATGTTAAAAAGACAAAGCTCATCACTGTGTTTGTTGACTGCTTTATGAAAGTCTGAGCGAGCAGAAGGAGAAAAGTGATAAAACGTGGTTACAAACAAAACTGAAATTTTAGCCACCACTTTTGTTAAAGCAAAGCAAGTGCTAGAGAACAAATCAAATAGTATTACTGAAAAATAGTATTACTGTGTTAGGCTGAACTGTCAGGATCTTCATGTGAAAAATGCAACCTCCAAAAAACTTCAGCACTAAAGGCAGTATCTCAACCATTTAAATAGTTTACTGATTCATTACTAAGCAAGAATCCCATTTACACATTGACATGCACATTTCCCATCCTGAAATTACTTACCTTTTGACGCCTTTTCTCTTTCCTCTTGTCTTCTGTGTCCTGTAGCATTTTTTCTTTCCAGAGGTCAAAGAAATAGGAAGGATCAGTATAGAACTTTAGCCCATCCTTCTTATCATCCCTGTGAATCAATGTATTACCAGTCAGAGAAAAAAAAAGATTGTTAGATACTTTCATATGTAGGTGAATATTAATTTACTTTTACCTCATGGGATTGTAACATACGCACAGGGCATCTTAACTATCCTATGCATTATTAAGTCTCTAAATTTCCTTATTTGAAAAAATGTGATAACGTGCAAGAACGGCAACCTATTCTAGAATAATTAGGTTAAAAGTACTCTTGCTTATTCATAATTAAGTAAATTGCTCTGAAAAAAATCACAATATGACTCATAAAGAGCAATGTTGACTACTTCGGTTATTTCAGGAAATGTTTTGTTTATTCCAACAGGGGCCATACACAGAGATGCGCATATCCTTAGTACATATATTAACGCCTTCACTTCTATCCTACAGCTTCACTATTACTAGGATACAAATTAATAAGTACTCCATCCCTTTTCATCAGTAAGGTTTGCCCAACATCCATCAATCCAATAACGAAAAGAGTAAAATGTTCATAGTAAACGTGACTGGAAAAAACAATGATGAACTACGCATTTTCAAAGTGGAAGTAACCTACAAAGAAACTTCATTCATCTGTAGCCACTTCATTTAAAGTACTGCTACAGCTACTGAGAGCTAAAGAATATTTCAAGTCTTTATATAAGTTACTCATTTATCATAAAACCAATAATGCAGCTAAGAGGAATCCAAAGTTGTCATCTACATCAACAGTAATGTTGATACAAAGTAAAGACTCTATTCTATTAATGTTTTAAATAGTATTTGGCCTGTATACTTCCTTCAAGAGAAAGTAGAACATTTACATTTCATATTAGTTATTTTAACAAGTTGGCACTAAGGGGAAGCAAAACCAGTTAAATGAGTACAGGGAAGAGTTTATGCCCAAATTGTCAAAGAAAGCTCACTGAATTATTCAGGAGAAAAAACTAAAACAGGATTTTCCTTAATGCCCTTGAAATGCCACCTCCTGGGTTAGCTTCTCACTATCTAATGCTAAGGCCAGGTTTCTACAGGCCTATTCTAGTCAGTGTCTGAAAATCACTAACAAGCTAGTGTAACTCTATACTTCAACCTTTCCTTATTTAAAACCTTTCCTTTCTAATTAATAAGCAAGCTGCACGATAGAGATTTTATTAATAACATTATTGTGAAAAAGAGAATTTGTTTCCTAAAGATACTAAGGCCTTGAATATAGGCAAGGTTATAAAAAAGCTATAAAACTCAAAATGTATAAAATGCACATTCTTTTTTTATACATGGAGTTAGTACTTTAAGGATGGCAGGAACTCACTTAAGTAAACAAGTGTTAACCTTGATATAAGAATATAAGCAGCTATATCCTATGTGTATATCATATAAACACTTAATTTTTCAGTCACTTTGTACTTCCTGTAATAAAGCAATGTTGTGTCTTATGTGAGTTCAAATGCAAAAGTTTAGATATTTTATATATCCCAGATATTGTTATATTAATGAAAAGTAGATTTGGGCTGGCACTGCTATTCTTAAACACACCATTAAAAAGTCAAAAGACATGCTTTATTTTCCATAAGACTGAAAAAACACACACATAATATATATGAAGGTCAAATCATTTTTTCACGCAATTAAAATTTTACAATTACCACACCAAATACCTCATCACGATCTTGATCAAATGTAAGTAGTTTATTGGGTTTTCTGTTTTTTTCCCCTCTAGAACTGTATTTTTAGTGAGTTTTCTTGGTAATGCCAGGTAGGAAAAGGTTAATGAGCAAAGTCTCACACTATAGTATGTATATACTGAAGCTCCCAATGCTAAATAAAACTGAAAGTGCCCCAGAAAAATGCCTGCTGAACAAAAAGCAACGTCAAAAGTCAAAACAGGCTCACAGTGCTACTGTTCACACATACCGTTAATTTTTTAAATGAGTGTGCTAAAACCTTCAGAAAAGCAAGCTTGTCCCACAAAAAGGCAGGGCAACTTGCTCCTCCTCTCCCATCACAGTTTCCATGTGGCCGCTCGCGTTGTTTTGAGACAGTCTCGCTGTCCATGCAGAGAGAGGGTAACACTCCTACCAGTGCTCTGTAAGCAGAGCTGCAGTCAAGGGTCACTCCAGGCATCTCCTTGTGGACCCTGAGACAGGCCAGAATCCGGCCAGTAAAAACTCAGGACACCGCCCCCGAGGGCAGGGCCACGAAGGGCAGTCACGGAAGGGAGAAGCCACGCGAGCATCACCAGCAGAGCTGGCCCTGGGGCAGTGAGGGCCACAGGCCACCACAGCCCGTGCTGTCAGAGGCCGAAGGATGAGCTCGACGGGAGGGCACAGAGACGGGGAGAGGGACAGGACGTGCCACAGGGATGCGGAGACAGCATGTGAGAAAGGAGACAGGAGGCGAGAGCATATATGGGAAGAAAGCACTCATGTGGAAGGAGGCAGGACAGGTGTCTCTAAAAAGTATTTTTAGGTAGTCTCTCCATGTTAATTTCTTGGTATATTTATAAGATGTGTGATAACGTGTCCCGCCATTTTACAACAGAAGGTTCATTTGCTGACTATGTTTTCGCTCTTAGAAACCCTAACACTGGAGAATACACTTTCCTGAATTAAATGACAAGTGTCTCCACAGTGCTGCAATATGCTGAGACAGGTATTCTGCAGCATTATAAATGAATTATGCAGTTCCTTTCACACTGACTTGGAACAGGAGAAGCAGCAACATAACCACACATAACACTGTTATGTAACACGCTCACTTCTACTTAAGACGGCCACATCTCCCATCTACCTAGAGAGCCCACGCTTCTCTAGGTAAACGTGTCTACATTTTGAAATACTAAAACTTTAATAATTCTGTACCAATGCCTCATTTCGTTATGTATAATAATGCAGTGACTATTTTCAAAGTTTGAAAAAATTCTTAATTTTAACCCAGATGAGCCATCGAGAATGCTCCCGCACAGCGCATCAGCACGGTGCCAGCTCTGCCCACCTCGCCCTCAACCGCTACTGAGGGGCTCTGGGCACCCGTGAGGCCGTACCTGTATGGCGTCAGGATGTTCAGAGGCGGCGGTTTGTCGCTCTGGTTGTAAATGTCAGCAACGGGATTAGGGATGCTGTTCTTTGAAACCACCTGCTGGTCTTGGACTGTGGAACTTTTGAAAGCTTTTTTCATGTTGATATCCTGTAGTGACACTATTGAGAGAAAAGGCCCCCCCCCCCGAGTTGAGTTATATAGAAAAAAATTTTAACTGTTTAGATATAAGTATCATTTAACTCACGATCATAAACACTTCCTAGAATAACCAAATGATGTTATCATTCATTTAAAACCACGCTTAAATAGCATGTGCATTCCCTCCCTCTTATAAGTTATCTCTGCAATTAGGTCAAATCATGACTTTTTTTCTTTTATAGCGATCTAATTATTTCATTGGATCTAATATTAGAGCATCCTTCTTTATTTAAATAGCACTTCTTAGAAGCCACACAGGAATACAGTTATGAGTACAATGGGCATGTAAATATATATTTGAGTATCCTAAGGAAAATACCAGTTAATATTAGTTTAAATATAATACACGTGGGAAATACTTCTGTAAAAATTACCCCAGTGTAAATAACATATTAAGTTTTTCTGAAACCGTTATAACATTAAGGAAAGATGGCAAAGCTTTTCAATGCACATACAGTCCTGGAAATTAAGTAGCCTGATTTATGATACAAGATGATAGTAAGGAGTCAGGAAATCAGGGCTGAGCCCAGTTTTGTGTGTGTGTGTGTGTGTATAGGACTCTACATTTCATGTACAACTCATCTGACTTGAACACAGACTTTTTGAGGTGGGCAAACTGGTCCTATTAACCCATCTAACTCAGCCACTGCAGCTGAGATTCAAGGATGTTAAGTTTCCAAGATCTCCCAGCAAAAAAGTGGTAAGCCCAAAATAGAACACAGATTTCATAACCTTTAGTCAACTATTTTTTTCTACTCTAACATCCACATGGAGGAAACAAGGTAAAATCTTGATCCGAAAGGGATTTTAAAGATGTGACATGTACTGAAAAATCCCATAAAATTTAATCTACAGATTAGCATTTTTCAGGGTAAGATTTATCATAAGCATTCCAATTGCAAGAGCCAAAAAAAGCTAAAAGAAGATGAATAAATATTAAAAATCACTTGTGATACCAATTTGAAAAGTGATTGTTTAAAATGTTAAGAATTCCTTATCTGAATAGACCAGGTAGTTATTCAAATTTTTATTTTTTAAATGAAAAACAAACTTTAAAAATAGAATTAAAAAGAGCATTTTTTAAATTTCCTACTTACTGAAAGTCAGTAAGAATGTTCATAATGAATATTAAAACCTCAATGTTCTACATTTTTATTATATTTGTAATTCACTGATTTAATTTTGACCTTTGAAAAATATCTGAACATGGGCAAACATATCTTTTTAAAATGATGAGGGATGGCCGGGCGGGGTGGCTCACGCCTGTAATCCTAGCACTCTGGGAGCTCGAGGCGGGAGGATGGCTCAAGGTCAGGAGTTCAAAACCAGCCCAAGCAAGAGCGAGACCCTGTCTGTACTAAAAAATACAAAGAAATTAATTGGCCAACAAAAAATATATAGAAAAAATTAGCCGGGCATGGTGGTGCATGCCTGTAGTCCCAGCTGCTCGGGAGGCTGAGGCAGCAAGATCGCTTGAGCCCGGGAGTTTGAGGTTGCCGTGAGCTAGGATGACACCACGGCACTCTAACCCAGGCAACAGAGTGAGACTCTGTCTCTAAATAAATAAATAAATAAAATGATGAGGGATGAATTCCACAAATGACTAATTTAAATTACTACATAGAAGTAGTACAAAAATCAAACTTTGGGATCTTTTTAAAGCAGTAAGGGAAATTATACATTTTAACCTGAATATTTTTCTCAAAGTAAATATGAATTGGTATATCTTATACTTTTTTAGCGTATTTTTTCCAGCCTAACCTTAAGTCTTTCATTAAAGATACCGAAAGTGAAATTTTTTTAAAAAAGGAACTGTTGATAGTTTTAATTTTATTGAAACTGACACAATTTCAGGGGCTATCACCAGTTAACTACACAACGCTTGTCAATATCAACATTATTTGAAAACCTGAAGCCTAAAGGCCTTCAGCAAATGCTATTTCTGAGAAAGCTAACGCAAATTTCAAATCAGCAGAATCACTAAGATCATTTATCAACCCAAACAAGAGTGTCGGGCTAGAGCCTTTGCTGTCACACGATGTGTGTCTAACCCTCCCTCTTGGCTGGAACGTGTCTTTGGAGTGACTCTGTGATTCTCGGGTAAGAAAGTATTTTTAAAATGGCTAACTAGAAACTTAAAACTAAGACTTCTAATCCTGAATGCATTTGAAGAAGTCTTTAAAACAAATACTTGTTATTTTTTTTTTTTTTAAAAAGAGTATGGAGTACAAGTTAGACAAGATATGAGGCTTTTTATCACTGATTAACCCAAAGTTGTGGGGTCTCCCCCTCACCATTCTTCTAGGAGAAGACAGGATGAAGTATCAGCACACCACCCCAAGGAAGCAGCAGTAATTACACGGCAATTAATTGCTCCCATCTTGTCGGCATCACTTCTAGCTCACTGCTTTCATGCAATTACCTACCCTCTTCCACTGTTGAATCCAGCTGGGTAACTTTGACAGCGAGGCGATCGATTCTGTCTTGAAGAGAATTTGCTCTGATGTAGAAGTTGTTAGCCTCATTAAACAGCTCGCCGAATATGTCTTCGGCATGTTTGCCTGCAGAGGGAATGAATGGAGAAATCCGTCGGGAAGCTGAGGAAGCCGCCCCCACCAGTCTTACTCCTGTCAACACGCGCGATTTTGTGCAAATGAGAAATAAAACATCACAGACCAAGGCCTTACAACTTTCAAAATTTATTAGAGATAGTCATATAAATCTGAAATGGACTCCAAGTTGTAGAATTGTAAAATATCCCAGATAGTACAGAATCCTTATGGCTGCATGAGCAGCAATAACTCCAGTTGTTTCCCACTAAATACAACTTTTTTTGGAAACAAATTTAAGTTCTCCTTTTGCGTGCTTTAAGTATAAACAATCTCAGGAACTAAACTTTCCTCTTATTCCCAAAGGTAATTCAATAAATCACGCTGGCCTTTAAATTTAGAATTCTATCTCATTCACAATCAAAAACATTAGGGATCTCACATTGTGCCTAACACTTTCCAATGGCTTTAAATTCTTCTAATTAATATTTTGAAGTCTAGGTATACAGTGCTGACTCTGGCGCTCTCTAGAAGTCCAACCCTGTCTTCGTTTACCTACGCTCTTAGGATTTGAGCTCGGCCTCTTCCCTCCGCCCTGCCCGTGCGCAACTATCCATTGAACGAAAAGCACACGGTCTATACCAGTGTTTTCTCATTAACAAGGACACAGCCAACAAAGGCTCCCTGCTCAAGAAGTCTGGGAAACAGAAGGCTGAAAAGATTAAACGTGTTTCTACGCCTTGGGGCATCTCAAAATCATTAACAACAGGCTAATGTACCCTGGGAATCTGCAAGAGAAGCATCTAACTTAATTGTTTTCAAAGTGACTGGGCCTGGAAACACCTAATAACATCTTTCAAAGCTATTGTTTTACGAAATCCACTTGGGGAAAATGCTGGGTGATTTGCAGACAAGCACCACCGTTCCAAATACTTCATGTACAAGTCTATCAGTTCTTTATGTCTGAATGTCTGACACTGTCAAAATGAAACCATCCAATTTTTGTCTCTCTACTTGACCATTCATAGTTTACAATAAATTTATATACACACACATATTCCAGTGCAACTCTAAAAACTTCCATTCCTTCCCCTTCAGCTATGCAGAAAACTAATTATTATAATAATAAGGGACAGGATATATATCGCCAAGAATTTGGGACTGTATACCATATTCTTGCAAAAGTTACAGCAGTATTCTCAAAGCACAGCAACTACTGCTGAGAACACCACTCTGCACTCTCTGCTAGATGCCTACAGAAGCAGAAAAGGATAAATAGCACATTCCTCATCCTTCAATGCTTAACCCTATTTGGAAAAACATCTCTTTGTGCCCGTGTGTGCCCAATGTGCAGCTCCCAATTATTAGAGAGTACGTGGTGTTTGCTTTTCCATTCCTGAGATACTTCACACTAAAACCCCCGACCTAAGCCTTATACATAGTAACCATGTAACAAAAACAGTTGTACCCCCTTAATATTTTGAAATAAAAAAAAAAATTTTTTTTAATTATCTGGGTTAAAAAGGAAAAAAAAAATAAAAATGTGCAATTGATACTGTATTTCCACTTGGAAGTTCTCAATTTATAAAGAAACACAGAAATTAAAGACTTGCATAATTAATATTTTGCCAGCTGCTGAAAGCTGACAAGTGACTAAAGAGAAGAAAGTGGAAGGAGCTATATTTTCTGATGAATAAGAATAAAGTGTTGCAATTACAGTCTTCAGCTTTGCAAACAGCAACTGATTTGAAAAGCTGAATTCTACTCTTTCAACGGCAAGTCCATTAATAGCTAAACTAAAATAATTCTGAATTGAACTCAACACCACATTGAAGTGCAATTTCTTCCTTCTTTATTGACAAAGGTTCCACTTCTGGACTTAATAGGACCACAGAAATTCGTGTTCAAGTATGTCAGGTCGAGGAATACGCCTCCAAATTGCCAAAATGTAAAAATTACGCGTGCATTTTCAACTATATTTAAAAGTGACAACTTATCAGAAACAATCAAGGTGTCGTACATGAGTCCTTTCTGTGGAACAAGAAAGCAGTCATAACTAAGGCTCTCAAAGATTTCAGCACACACAACCAGCACCCAGATCTTGGTTTGCCAAGATTTTGGATTTTCATTCTCTATTAAAAGGAATCAGGTGGCCAGGCGCGGTGGCTCACGCCTGTAATCCTAGCACTCTGGAAGCCCGAGGCAGTGGATTGCTCAAGGTCAGGAGTTCGAAACCAGCCTCAGCAAGAGTGAGACCCTGTCTCTACTATAAATAGAAAGAAATTAATTGGCCAACTAACACATATATAGAAAAAATTAGCCGGGCATGGTGGCGGTTGTCTGTAGTCCCAGCTACTCGGGAGGCTGAGGCAGCAGGATTGCTTCAGCCCAGGAGATTGAGGTTGCTGTGAGCTAGGCTGATGCCACGGCACTCACTCTAGCCTGGGCAACAAAGTGAGACTCTGTCTCAAAATAAATTAATTAATTAAAAGGAATCAAGCTCTTTAAAATGACTCCACAGCTGAGGGTAGAAAAGTACAAGAGGAGCCTAGAATATATTGCTGTGCTGGAAAAAGTAAAGTGTTCACAGATTGGGGGGGAACATGTCAAGGAACACAAGAGCCTGCTTGGAAGGCTCCTACCGGCCAAATCTGGGAAAATGAGAGTATAGAAATGGAGGCTATGGAGTATAACCCACAGAATAAAATAATAATCCATCAGCCCACACTGATACAAATGAGTAAGGAAGTGAACACACTGACAGCAGAATGCAAACTAAGCAATATTGCAGAAATTATGGAATAACAAAAATCAGCTTCCTGCAATCACCACAGCAAAACCATGTCGGGCAAGAATCAAACCTGCCAGAATGGACGCTGAGCCTGCTGGTTTATAGACGTGGGGTACGAAATGGGATACTGACTTAGTCTCAGAGTGTCTCTCCGTAAGATACTCATTAATCATATAGGGGAGAAAAATGTCAACCACGGAAACCTACGCGATCAGCCGATGGAAGTCAAATCTCCAGTGATGGTGCGAGCAGACGCACGCGCTTCCGGTCACACGCACTGAGGAGCTCGCGCCACCGCTCTGTGACGTTTCTGCCAACGTCCTAAGTCTAACCACCAGGAAACAGAACCACCAGCCCAAAGGACATGCCACAAAATGAATGGCTGGTTCCCTTTAAAATTATCAACGTCCTAAAAGCCAAAGGAAGACTGAGGAACTCCTTAAGATGAAAGGAGGCTAAAAAGAGAACTGTGTATGTGTGTGTGTGTGTATTTATATATACACACACACATATATGGGGGAGAGTACAGGAAGAATTCTGAAAAAAAAAAATACGGCAAAGTAATAGCTGAGGAATCTCGGTGAAAGTGCATGAAGATTCTTTATACTATCTTTGACCTTTTTAAAGTCTGAAATCATTTCAAAATATAAAGTTAACAAGAAACTTTATTACAGTACCTGTAATGTCCAGTTGTTACTAAATTCCATAAAATAACAAGTCATAATTACTGGGCTTTCAGGTTTTTTCCCCCCTTTTTAAGGCTTTACTCTTTTCTACTATGAAAGCAGTCTATGCACTGTCCCAGCTGCCTGAGGAAACAAAGCAGTGAGCACAGCCAAATCCCTGCTCTCGTGAAGTGCAGATCGTGGTTGGGGGAAACAGACACACACAATAACGTGTTAGGTGACGTAAGTGCCATGAAGGAACTAAAACAGTAAAGACCAGAGAGTCGAAGGAAGCAGGTGGATTTCGGTGGCCACAAAAGGCCTCTTTGATAAGGTGGCATCAACTGTCTGAAGAGGGGAGGGCGACCCTGTGACCCTCTGGGGGAAGAACCTTCCAGGCAGAAGGCGGCAACACCAACACGTGTGGTGTGTGTGAGCAACGTCAAGGAGGCCAGTGTGCCATCTGCCCCATGAGAGCTCTATTGTCGACGTGAGAGACTGGGGCCAATGGTTCTAAAGGAAATAGAGTCGCAAGAAATTCAGGATGGAATTTGGGGTTTGGAGAGTTAGGATGATGTTCCAGAAGAAGACGACTTAACTATATTTGAATCAATGTAGATTGTTGTACCATACTTAAAAAAAAATAACACATCCCTTGAAAATAAGTCCCAGGGTGTCTTCTTAAGGAAAATTAAATATAAGACCCTGTCTCATTTTCGGGAAACACGGTATGAGAGAAAGAAGAGACAAATCAAAAGCACCGGAAGAACAGAGTTCCCACTTGCTAAGACAGATGGAGGATTGGGAAATAAGTCACAAATTCAGTTTTAGACAAGCTGCATTCAAGACGCATATTAGAAATCCAAGTGAAGATGGGGAATGGGCAGTTGTAGATACAAGTTTGAAGTCCAGCGGAGAAGGCAGAACTGAAGACATAAATGTGGAAGCCATCAGCATAAAGGTGGTATTTCAGGCCATGGGACCTGACGAGATGCCCCAGTGAATGAGAACAGGCAGAGTTTCAACGGCCTAGCCCTGGAGCCTTCCATCACGGAGGGGTTGGGAAGACCATCGAAGAGTAGCTTGTGAGGCAGGAAAACCGGTGAGGTGGTCCAGAGGCCAGGGGAAGAAAACGCCTCCAGAAGGGGGAAGAAGTTATCAAAGAGTTAAGTGCTACTGACAGATCGGGTAACAAGACCGAGGCCAACCACTGGATGCAGCAACATGGAAGTCAAGGGTAACGCTGACAAGCAAGTTTCGAAAGAGCGAACAGGACAAAAGCCTAAAGAGAAGTATAGGCAGTGGAGATTTGAAGAGTTCTTCTGAGGAGTCTCGCTGTGAAGGGGAGCAAGGAATGGGTGACTGGGAGAGGACGATCTGAGGATTACTTAAGTTGGGATGTTCTTCTATGCATTTGACAAGAACGATGGGGGGTGGAGGGGATGACAGAGAGAAGAGAGAAGTGAATGCAGTCCCAGGGCGAGCATGAGGGTACGGCACCCAGGCTCAGGTGGAGGAGACAGCTTTAGACGGAACATTGAACAGTCCACCCATCT